CAAGTTCTGCTCAGCCTGCTTAGGTACTTAGCTGCTAATCGATGAGAAAATACTATATCTAATCCTGCCAACTTGAGACGAAAATATAACCGGGATGTAAGTAGTGTATGCAATTTAATTCAATTAAAAACTATCCGTGATAACCCGTCCCCAGATCTCATTTTTCCCTTGTCGTCCGCTCATAAATACACGTGGCTTATAAGCAGCCGTAGCCATAGTCATAGCAATACAGCTCTCAGGAGTAGGTGGCGTGTGAAACCAAGCCGCTAGAAATAACCATCGCTGTAGCTACTGCATCTTATCCACCGGCTCTACCTAGTTAATATCGAACAGGGACTTAAGCTTGATGATAAGCGCCCACTCGTCGTTCGTCACTTCTTTTCTGTAGAATTCCTTCAGGCAGTCGATACTGGCACGCGAAATCAAGCTGTACAGCTGGTCCGTCTCTTCGAGTTGTCGACCGTATGCCGGCTGGTGGCCGCCCATCTCGATCTTGACTGCTACAGACGGTTGACCCTTCTTGCAGATTGGAATCTGCTTATGATCTCTTTCGATCGATGATCTGCAAAGATGTTGTCAGCTCTGGAAGAGGGAGCAAAGGGGGGTGCTTAGCTAATGTGATGGAATGAAGAACTTACACTCGGCCCATGCTAATAACTTCTTTGCCCGTGGGTCCTTGCCTCACAGCAGCTATAGGTGTGCCGACTCGAAGGTTACCATCTATCACATCAACACCAACGACAATGGGGTTAGTCTTGTTGAAAACCGCCACGGTGTTGAGGACGCAGGGGAAGACGGCGAGCAGCTTCGACTCTTCCTTCTTCTTCTCTAGCTGCTCCTCCATGTGCTTCGTGAAGGCGTCAAACAGATGGTAAATAATGTCGGCAGTGAAGATCTTAATCCCGTTTTCCTCAGCATAGGCCTGAGCCTCCTTATCTACCTTAACGTCGAAACAGAGCATGACAGCATAATCGGGGCTCTTCTCCAACATCGTACCACACTGCATCACGTCACGCTTGAAGACGGGCCCGATACCAACGTTGGCTACAGGAATCTTGCAGTCCTTCAAGAAATCGAGAAGGGCTTCGAGCGAACCAAGAGTTGATGCCTGCACGCTCACACCTCGTCCAGATGTTGATACACGGCTAAACAGCTTGTTCAGATCTGCTTCAACCTCTTCTTCCAAATCTTCCTCGTCGTCATCAGGTCCGACCACGAGCAATCGGGAACCAGCAATGGCGCCTTCGAGACCAGGTGCACTTATCTTAACACCCATGGCTGCCTTCACCTCCTTATTGTGTACATATTGTGACTTGACACGCAGCTCTTTCATGACTGCAGGAGTAAGTAGTGCTCGAATGTTTGTAGTGATGGCTCCTTCAACACCACACACTACTATTCGATCGCCTTCCCGGAGAATACCGTTGGACAGGATGACATCGATTGTCATACCAAAACCCTCGATTGCCTTTACTTCGAGAACGGTGGCTTGGACCTCCGAGAGGTACATGAGCGAACCAACCATCCTTTCCTGAGTCAATTGTACAATGAGCTTCAACATATCCGGGATACCCTCTCCCGTGTGAGCGGAGGTGGGAACCAGTGAGACATATCGGGCCATAGACTTGTTCTCGTAGAAAACTTCGGCGTTGAATCCTTGTTCGGAAAAGGCGAGTTTAGTCTGCTCTAATCGGTTCCTGAACTCGTTCTGTACACCTCGGTTCTGAAGGGCCAGACTCTCTTGGAACCCATTGTTGTCGACCTTCTTCCAACCGTACAGACGATCAATCTTGTTGAGTGCGACAATGAAAGGTGTCTTCCGGTCGCGGAGCAGCTTCATCGATTCAAGGGTCTGAGGCTCAAGACCGTGCATGATATCGACCACTAAAATGGCAATGTTGCAAAGCGAAGAACCTCTGGAACGTAAGTTGGAGAAAGACTCGTGACCAGGTGTGTCGATGATCAGAAGACCCGGGACCTTTAGTTCGAACTTTCCATCCTGGTTAACAACGGCGGTCTTCTGCTTGATAGCCTCACCTAGAAGAATATTAGTAGGCGACTCCTAAACTGTAGAAAAAGGGGATTGGGACAGACCTGGGAAATACGTGGCACCGATCTGTTGTGTGATACCACCAGCTTCTCCTTCTTGGACGTTTGTTTGCCGAATCTTGTCCAGCAGTTTTGTCTTTCCCGTATCGACGTGACCCAAGATACAGCAGATAGGACTGCGAAGGTTCTCCTTGGATCTCGCGGCCAGAGCAGCCTGGTGGGCTTTCTCTCTCCGTTCGGCAGCCTCCTTCTTGCGCTTGGCCTCAGCAGCTCGACGAGCAGTTTGCTCCTCATCTTCAGAGGATTCCTCCTCTGATTCGGATTCAGACTCGGCTTCCTTGGCCTTGGCTCGCGAAGCCAATGCTTTAGCGGACTCCTTCGCAGCAGCTTTCTTTTCGGCTTCTTCATCGGAATCGGCGTCCCAGCTGTCCTTCACATCATCACCTGAAGCTGCGGCTGCCTCCCAATCTTCCTCGACTTCTTCCTCTTGCTGAGCTTTCTCGGCGGCTTCCTCAGCAGCAGCCTGGGCAGCAGCTTCCGCTGCGGCCTTTTCTTCAGCCTCCTTGGCCGCGGCCTCGGCTTGTATTCTCGCCCGCTCGGCAGCTTCGGCTAAAGCCTTTTCTTCATCCACCTATGAAAAGGTTAGCAAAACCAACTGCTCAAGCAAGCCACAAGTGTGGATTGGGACAACAACCTTTTGGTCATTCTTCTTGACCCTCTTCTTGTCATAGGTGACTTTCTTCTTCTTTTCTTCACCGTCTTCCGAAGGTCCAACTTGAAGACCAGCATTGATCATCTGCTGTAGCTTTCTCTCGTTACGAGCCTTCTCTTCTTTCTGAGCCTTGGTCAGATACTTTCCTTCTTTCTTCAGCTGTTCGATCCTCTCCTTTTCCTTCTGCTTTTTACGGGCCCTTTCTTCTTCCTTTCGCTTCTGCTCTTCAGCTTCCTGCCTCTCGAGCTCTGCTAGGCGGGCCTTTTCGCTTTCAGCGGCTTTTTCGGCTTCTTCACGCTGCCGCCGTAACTCCTCCTGCTGCTTTTGAATGGCGGCCAAATGAGGCGGAAGCTTTTTGCCCTTCTTTGCTGGAGCCTCCGCAGCGGGTGCTGGAGCGGGAGCTTCTTTCTCTTCAACGGGAGCCTTGGCTGGTTCTGGAGCCTTCGCAGCAGGCGCAGGTGCGGGTGCTGTCGTCTTTTTCTTCGCAGCCTGCACAAAGTAGCAGAAGGTTAGAGCTCGGAGCCAGTCGACACGTATGAAAGGTAGTACTAACCTGCTCCTTTTTCCTTTGCTTCTCCCTCTCTTTCTTCAGCTTCTCTTTCTCGGCCTTAGTGAGCATCCTGCCCGAGTCGGCATCATCGCCATCAGCAGCGGCGGCGGGGGTCGCTTTGGCAGCAGCTTGGTTCTTGTTCTGCTTCCCCCCCTTCCCCTTCTTCTCAGGCAGAGCAAACTCATCTTCCGCTGTCGCTTCCTTAGGCGCTTGGAAGGAAGTGATGTCGGTGGGCTCAGGGGTTGCGGGTTGTGCTCCGTCGGCGAAATTCTCGGACAAGCCCTTCTTCTTGCGCCTCTCCATTGCCTTTTTCCTTATGGCCATGAGACCTCCGACGGGCGCATCATCTTCCTCGGCCGGCTCTGCTGAGTCCGCCGGGGGGGCGTCGGCAGCGGCGGCAGCGGCATCGCCATTGGTGGGCGCAATGCTCTCACCAAGATCGGCTTCCCAATCGTCAGCGGCCTTTTTTCCTCCCTTCTTTTTCGGCGGCATCTTGAAGGCTTCCTGGATCCGTGGCTAGGCAGCGTTGAGGAAAGATACTGAAAGAGTCTTGCTACACAGCGAAGTGTAGTAGAATTCAACGAATCTTGAGAAGAACGTGTCTTCGGTCGTGTCGTGCCGGACCAGATGTCTGATGTTCACCTAGCAAAAGAGGCAAGGCAAGACAAGGCAACGGTACGCGGGGTGACGAGTGCGACGTCTAGGTAGACGACCGAAGGGAGAGAGAGACACGGAAACTAAGGATAGATTGGTACGAGAGATGGATATTTTAGAATCATGTCCCAGAGAAAGTCCCGAAACATGGCCTGCTTCCTTCTGACGCTTATCTCCGAAGGGCGAATAGAGGCAAAAAGAGACTGCACACTAGAGAAAGAAAAAGACGTCCTGCGCTCTCTCACTGGATGTTGCGAGGGACGAGAGAGGGTCTGCTAATAATGTATGTACTTTATGTGCAGTAGTGGGGGATCATTAAGTGGTGGTGGGATTTGGGTTGGTGGTAAACCTAGTGGCGTCGGCCGATGTGGGAGAGTTCCAGGCAGCTAAGCATTTAGGTTAGCCGACTCGGAATCTGATGACGCTGCGGGGAGCGATTTACACAATTTTAGTGGGTGAATTCGTTTTTGTGAAATACTTGTTGAGCACATGACGGGGAGACATTCTCAGGTCCAACGTTGTCGGATTAAACACCAAAAGTCCGAGCGGCCAAAGTACCGATAAGGAGTTAAGCGAGGAATGGCGGGGTTGTTATCGCGCTTATCGATAGAGTATAGATTAGTGTGCAGTCTTAGAGAATTAAGAGTGATTCCCAGAGACAAGATCGTGACCTTTTGTAATACACTTTCAGGTTCCTTAGTTTGTTCAACTATATACCCAGGATATTTATTGGACTACTGCTAAATAAATTCAAAGACAAAGAAATAAAGGTAAAAAAGTAAAAGCTAGGAAAAAGTTAAAAAAAACATAAAAATCACAAGCAACCCCTCCACCCCACCACAAAACAAGCACAATCACAATACTCTTACTTACTTTACCCCACAACAAAAAATAAACCCAACCTAATCTCAAGAACACCAAAAGATTAATCTCCGAATCGGGGAATCGAACCCCGGGCTTGACGGCACCGTATAATGAGAGCGTCAAATGTTAGCCACTACACCAATTCGGATAGAAACATGTATGAAGTATATGCGACCTCGGCCGGACTCGAACCGACAATCTCTAGAGGTTTCAATGATTGGTAAGCCACCGAAATCTAGCGCCCTAGCCATTAGGCCACGAGGCCGGTTGATTTTAGGTCATGCTGAGTGATATTATGAAGGGAATGGTGGGTTGAATGAAAATAGTGAGTGGGTGAATGGATGAGTGGGTGGAGGAGAGGGAGGGGCAAGGAGTTGGTTGGTTGGTTGGTTGGTTGTTGGTTGGGCTATCTCGGAGGGCGAGGGTGGGTAGTTGTTGTTACACTAGTTCCAGCCAGTCGGATGGATAGATAAATAGTTGAATCGCGTGGCTTTATGTGGTAAAATTATTACGCTTGGTGTATGTAAGTAGTGTACAAGGCTTTTCTGTTGTTGGTGATTGATTGGTTTGCCGGGACGGCACCGGAAATCTCACTACGTAGTACACTGTATTTATACCAGGCTGTCTTGTCTGATAAGCTCATCAGATGTTTACTCATTATCCTATCGTCTTCGGGAATACTTCATACCAATGAGAACAACCGACTCGGTTCTGTTGAGTCCTAATAATATATTTACTGTCAACTCCTGCAAGTCGTATCCTGAACATCCCTACTATGTTGTTAGGAAGCATCATCTACCCAGCCATGTGTATGTACCTAGCTGCCACTGCGCTCAAATGAAACAGTTCAATTTCAATCCTACTTTTAGAAATTACACAAAAACAAATGTCATATTTATGAACATACCCGATTCCGGATAAGGTCTATCTTTGACTCTGCAGCCGGCCTCGTGTACTGACTGTTATTTGAGCGGCCGTAGTCTATCTCTAACACCGCAATATCGCAATATTCGGTCGGGATGAGAGCAAAACAAACCCATCTTCCCAAAGCCATCATCAAAATATCCATCCTATGCCCATTCCATTGCAGTCATTACTTTACTTTTTTTAAAATCCGTCAACACATGGGCTTCGGCTTCGCCTTCGCGCTCTTGGGTCGACGAACCGTGTACCCCGCTCAACCCGGGTCCTCAGATTAAACTTCTAGGACTGAGGCTCCTCAACCTCAGGCTTGGGGGCATCCGCATCCGTCATCTCCTCGTCTTTGTTGCCCTCACCCTTCGCCTGTTCAGCTGCTTTACGGGCTTCCTCCTCGGCTGCCTTCTTGGCGGCCGCCTCGGCGTCAAGCTTGGCCTGTAAGGCTTGGCGATCGGCCTCTACCTTGTCGAAGTATCTCTGGGTGATAGGACCGGCCATAGCACGGATCTCGTCTATCTTGGCGACATAGACAGCCTTTGTGGTATCCTCGCCCTCCTCATAAAGCCAGTCCTAAGGGTAAAAGGTCAGCTGCACGGCATCGAGAAGATAGATAATCGCCTCAAACAAAAAAACTTACCTCGCTTTCGGTGAGTTTCGCCCTCAGCTTGTCCTTCTCTTCTTCGCTAGCAAAGTCGGCGAGCTGATCGTCCAGCTTGTTGCGCAAATCGTAAATGTAGGTCTCGAGCTCGTTCTTCTTCTCTTCAGTGTCGGCTACGAGTTTATCTTCCATAATCATAGCTGCCTCCTTCTCGAATAGAGCCGCCTTGGTGTTGGGATCGAGAGAAGTAGTTCCAGCGACAATAGGTAGATCGCCCTTGCGAACTTGCTTCTTAACCTTTCGTGTCTTGGGTTTGCTCTCCTCCTTCTTCTCATCGGTCTCCATGGCCTAAGAGGAACACAAGTCAGTTACACGTTACAGCCGCCAAAAGTTGCAGCGCAACAGAAGTGTAGTAGAACGATCAAGGGAAACTCACATCAGCATCTTTCTTCTCGCCATCATCTTTCTTGTCTTCCTTAACCTCCTCCTCAACTTCTTGGTCTTCGACGTAATAACCACTCTCTACATTCAGAATGCCATGGATGTTAACCCTGGCCTTGAGCTTGCAGATCATGAATTCCGTCTTGGGATCTGCCTTAACACCCTTGACTGAGAAACGGCCGATGAAGGGGGATATCTTGCCGGGAAGGTCCTTGGGTTCCGAGTATCGGGCCTCTAGATCGAAAGGCTGCTTTCGGTAGAAGGTTAGGATTTTAGTGGAAGGTAGGACATTGCCCCTGCCGAAGACGGTCAAGCTCGTATCCTCATCAGGGATGTCCACGTCCTTTTCCCAAGAAAATTCGATCGGGTAGTGGACAATATCCGCGACAGAGAAATCGCGAACCTTAAAGACGGGCGACAGGATAGCACAAGCGAAAGCGCAGCCTCGAGCAATGGCCTCGTCCTGGTTGAGAGTGAACGAGAGACCTTTGCCGAAGAAAGCCTGGATTCTCTCCTTGATAGCTGGCACACGAGTGCTGCCACCGACGAGTTCGATGAAATCGACATCGTCCTTGGTTATTCCAGCATCGGCAAGAGCCCGCTCTAGCGGTGCCGTGACCTTGTTCAGGAGCGGTTCGACCAACGCCTCAAATTCTTGCCGTGTCACCATAGCGTTGACATCGATATCGTTCATGAGAGACTCAATGTTTAGAGGAGCCTGTTGATTGGCAGACAAGATCTTCTTTAGCTTTTCCGCACCAGCATCGACACGAGCCCAGGCCTTGGGGTTAGACGCAATGTCAATATGGTACTTGCCCTTGAACTCCTTCTGGAAGTGGTTGACTAAGGCCAAGTTGAAATCGCGACCACCGAAGTGGCGGTCGAAGGCAGTGGATTTGACGGACAGCTCGCCCTTCTTGAACTCGACAATAGAGCATGAGTAGTTGCTGTGGCCAATATCAACGAAGCAGACACGGCGCGGCTTCTCCTCCGGGCCGGGCAGATCCAGCTTTGTGATACCGTAGCCCAAAGCGGCCGCAGTGGTATCATTCATGATTCGAAGAGGCTTGAGACCGGCGATCTCGGCAGCGTCCAGAATGCTCCGTCGCTGGATGTCGGTGAACCACGGCGGCACGCTCAGGACAACATCAGCTACGGGTAGCTTCAACTCGGCAGCAGCGGTAGCCTTGACCTTGCTCAGGAACATGGCAACAAGCTGAGTAGCACTGAACTTCTCCTTCTTGCCCTGGTACGAAACTTCGGCGCCAACCTGGCCACCGCAGTCCACGAGGGCGGCCGAGACATACTGCGCCTCGATCTGGACATCGGGGTCTTGGAGGGCGCGTCCAGCCAGACGCTTGAGGGAGCCTACGGTGTTCTTGAGGTTGGAGATTTCTTGGGTCTTGGCCGGCTCGCCTATGTAACGGGCCCTGGGGCCGAATCCGACGAGGGAGCTGAGCAAAAGTTAGCGGGAGGGAAAGTAGCTATCGCGAGCTAGGCGGGGTAACACTTACGGCGTCGCACGGTTAGAGACTTCATTGGTGATCTAATAACCCAAATGACCTGTCAGCCTTACGAACAGGAGCTACAGCATTATACAACGGATGGGGGAGAGCGGAAGCATGGCAGGGAGTTACGTACGACATCGACGCCTCGATTCCTCGCAACAGCAATAACTGTGTTGAGCGTTCCGAAATCGACACCTGGATGACGCTAATGTTAGTAAACAGAAGCATACGCAGCGGCCAGGCGCAAGAATACCTGGGCGAGGAGAGGTAACATACCAACAACGCTCATCTTGCCTGGGTAGATGTAACAACTGGGAGTAGTTTGGTTGCACGGAAGGCTGCTGAGGATCGATGTAGGGGGGGGAATGGAGGGGCTAGAAGAGATGTCGGCGATAAACAACAGAGCAGCTCGAAAAGAAAGATGCCAGGCTCGGGCGGTGAGGGAATGGTCGGAAGAGGGCGGGGGAGTCTATGTCCAGTCGTCTGCGGTTTGCGGCACTTCGTACGCTTTCTAAGGTAGTGACTACCTAGCACGACAGAATAGAATATAAAAAGCGATTCTCTTATAATGAGGTGTAGGAAGAAAAAAAAAAGCTGCCCAAATGCGCACTGTAGGTGTAGACTGCCTGTACCTAATAATAAGGTAGGAGAGGGAGGGGACAGGCGGGACAGGTCTGTCTGTGGTCGAATTTCTGTGTAGTCTAGCCTCACCCGGCCGCCCCACTTACCCCTCTTTAGCCACACACCTCCCTTGGCAGGGGCGTGCACTGTAGTAGTTGCTCCGGCACGAAAGTTCTAGAGGCTTCAGGTAACTGCCAGCAAAGAACAAAGAACATGCAAACAATCCAAAACATTCCCAGCACATGCGGATCGCTCTTTAGCTGATCCCAGCATCTAGGTTCTTACCTGCTCCCCTTACATGTTCTGTTTCCAAATTTGTTAAAGTCATAACCCAGCCTTGTCTGCCTACTTAGTATATATATATCACATCACAACAGTACACACAATATTAGGTGATATCTATAAAACGTCATGTTCCACTAAGCCTGTACCTGACTCTCTACTGCCACACCTTGAACTTTCAAGGTGCACTAGGAGCAAAAAAGCTTTTCATTATCTAAGGCACAAATTCAATTGTTTGCTATCTTCTCACGTGTCCTATCACACCCTCTCAAAGCAATGACTACTAGAAACACCCCCTCTTAACCACCCCCTTATCACCCCGCCTTCAGCTGTTATCGCTGTCGCTTTTTCCAACACAGAACAGATGGTGGGGTCATACGTCAAAAAACTTGCAGCTATGCGTATCTAAATTTTTCCCTCCTGACCGCCCGCCCCGCCATCAAGCAAAAATAGTATCATACTTCTACACTATTTACCTAACCTATACGTAGACTATCCGGATGCCTAGCAAGGTAATGTAACAAAAAAGGTGCTGTCCCACTTAATATTCCTATCACCACGGGACTGCTCGTTGTTTATTACACTACCTTGCCTGGGTGTGTGTGTGTGTCAGGAAGCACTATTTCGAAACTACTAGATGAGTCTCATGTTTCTCACCTTCACCTCTCAGAACATCGTTTGGTGAGGAAAGTGGGGATAGAAGACATGTGTCAATATCTTCTTAGACGGAAGAGTTTTTATTATACCCAGGTTATAAGAGGCGTGGCTATTAAGACATGAACCTGAATTGGTCGTCATCACGGCCCAAAGGGGCATGACGCAATATACTAGATGAATGCATCCTAAGTAGTTGCCGGTTTTCCTCACCATTCAGCTTCAGTTGTGAGGAGGACAATA